GAATTCATGAAGAGCATTTCTTACTTCGTGAACAAGATTCGTCGCTCTGCGAATGTCATCAGGATGACAAGACGTTTTCGCTTGCTTAATTGCAGCTCTTTTATCAGAAATTTTCTGACGAATGTCTGCTGGCAAAAAAAGTCTGCCGTGTCCCTGCACGGGAAGTACAGCTGCACGCTGCAGAGTTTGCTGAACAAAACTTGTCCACTCTGCTTGAGCCGCATCTATACCGTTCTCATCATCTATGATCGGTATATTGGGGAACTCTTTGAGGAGCGACTTGTATAGATCCCAATCAATGCGTTTCCTTGGAGGGATTTCATCCCCCAAGATCTGCTCATTAGCCACTTCCAAAACGACGGGAAGATGATCGCTTGAGATGTCATACATGATTCGAGAAGTGATACTGTAGCTACAGTTTTTGGATAATGCCAAATCAAGAACATCAGGTGCCTGAAGGTGATTAAATGGGTGGTGCGTCGGCTCCTCAGTACTATGTATGAGGTAGCCATTTCGTATCACATGGTTGTACAGTCAGATCCCACTGTTGGAATTCAACCTGGAATGCCATGCTCGATGTTTGCAGTTGAAGTCCCCTGCCACAATAAGTGGACCCGAGCAGTCTAAAAGGACTTCCAGATCCGCCTCTTGCAGCCTGTTACCACACCTGACATACACCGATGTGATTTTTAACGGCACACCTCCCGTCATATTGACCACCACGGAAGCCGCTTCGATGCTCTGCATGTCAGCGTTTGTGCTTCTTTGGTAGTCAATACCGCGTTTCACTAGCACTGCCAAGCCGCCACCCCGTCCAGTCAATCTATCAGCCCGGATAACATCGTAATTCGGGAAAGCTAGACGATCTCCCCGATTAAGTAATGTTTTCTGCAGCAAGGCACATCTATACTTTCGTCCACAAGAGCTTGATGAAATTCCCGTCTTTTGGGACTGTCCCTTAGACCCAAACAATTCCAAAAAAGAATTTTGATAAATGCAGGCTGTCGTCGATTGTACCTAGCCATTTACAGGAAAGATCGCCTGCAAAGCCTGTGATGCGCTAATCAGAGGACCTATGATCTGCTGTAAGGACCTTAGCGCGGTTGCCAGGTCCACATTTTGCGTATTTGCAGAAGATCCCACAGAGGGGGCAGCCCGGGTTGCATCCCTAGCTGCATCCGCGTAACTTACATTGCGCCTTTGCGCTATCACTTGCAGATTTTTCTTAGGGGCAAATTTGCAAGTTCGGCTATTCGCTGGATGCCCCTCTCCACATTTCGCGCACTTTCGTTCCTCTTGTTCTGTTTGAGGGCATAAGTGGGTCATGTGGTCAGAAGCACATTTTAGACATTTAGGTGGTGCAGTGCAGTAAGATTGCGCATGCCCATATTTTTGGCACCGGTGACACTGCCCGATGAGTCTTGAGTTCTTTTGAACTTCGACTCGGATAGCCAAACCTAGCAGCTCGTGTTCGTTGAACAGCTGCTGAGATTTTTCTAGCTTGGGCAGTATGACTACCACCGCGTTTCAGGCGAATTATGTGCAGGGGGGAATATCCCCTCTGTTGCAACTCTTCCTTGATCTCAATTTCCGAAAGTGTCGCATGTACTCCTCTGAATACAGCATTCCTCTCCGAGGGTAGAGGGAAAGTGTGATGGGGCACCTCTTCCTCCCTGAAGAGACGAATAATCCTGCGGTAATCATCCTCGGACTTGGGAATTATACTGATTCCTGCATCGACGGCAACCGCGCGTTCGAATTTGATGCCCAAAGAAATAAACTTGTGATTTACGCCTCGCCATCTCGAAGCATCGCGAAGAACGATGGGGGTAACACGTACCTTGCGTGGGGGCTGTGCAGTCGTGTCTTCTGGTACCTGAGATGTCGAAGGCGTGGAAGTAACCGATAGATTAGGCACAGGCTGTTTATTCGAGTCGCTTGCAGTTGAATGAGACGTTTCAGACTGCGATTTTGGTGGAGGGAGAGGAGGAAAGCCTGTCGTGTCGTTCTTGTTTCGTCGCGTTTTACGGGGCTTAACCTTGGTAAAACCGTCAGGGAGTGTATCGTCGTCTGTGGAAAGATCGCTTGAATTATTTAACGGTCTCTTAAGATTGACAGCTTTGTCTTTACTGGGATTTTTGGGAAGTGTTTGGGAATAATGTGTAATATTTAGATTGGAAGGTACCTGGGTTTTCAGTAGGAGGTCTAATTTAACTGTTAGGTCGGTAATTGTCCGCTGCTGGGCTTCGTTGATCATCATCAATCTTTCAATGGTCTTCTTATCATCGTCCTTTTTTGACAGCTCCTGTCGAACCATCTCCATTTCGGCTCTCAACTCCTCTATGGTCTGCTCCTTCGACTCAATCTCCATTGCCATGGTGGAAGCGCCATTTCCTGACCCCCCTGGGTCAGTTTCCATAGTAAATACCTCGGTTATCTCACTTTTCGTCTAACAAATTTTCCGGATCGATATTACGGGACAGCTGCTATCAGTGCCCTATACAGGGCGATCGAATATTTTGATGTTTCCAAATCTCACACATGCTTCAACCAACCAATAACAAAACCCCCAGAGCATTTTAGGGAGTACAGTTATATCAATTAAAAACAAAGATTTATAATAACAGTATCTCCTAAAAGGTAGCGCAATTGTGTTAATAGTTATTTATGAAGCATGGCCACATTAACATTTTCGTTTTTCCAGATCGTTTCTCGGTATCGCAAAAGCAATTTTTTGTACTTTCCCATCTCGTACAAAATCAACTTTTGACAAACATTGCCAAACATCGTTTTGTTTCGGAGTATCAAAAAAAAACGAATACTACCTTTGATGAAGCGAAAACATTAATTTTTGGAATTTATTTAAAAAAGTTGTACAAACAATTAGAGACGCAATTTGGAGCCTGACAACTTGTAGATTTGTTACTAGGAGGCTTTTTCGAATAACATGCAAAAAGTCCGAGTCCGAATATTTTCCTGAGCAGATGTGAAGATATTTCTTGGCCTATAATGACGGCAGCGCTACCTTTCTTGGATGGAAATCTGGTGGAACTAAAAATATTGAAAGTATGCCGACGACGCATATCAAGAATGTCAGGAATGTGCCGGCGATGTCATTTGTTTACATTACGAAATCTGATTGATGACCTTCCCGTTATGGAAGGAAGTATTTCTTTCATCAGTTTGGCTAGTAATGAATTTCAGGATAATAAAAAAATGTATAATTAAAAAAATATTTATTGAACAGTGCAATATATGCAAGCACTATCTGTTGTTAATTGATCATGTATATTTATTGCGAAAACATAAATACTAAAATAACAAAAAATAGTTAGAGGGCTGACTGGAATACAAATGTAATCACTCTGATATGTGAATCAAAAATAGTTTTGCGCACATGGGTAAAGGCAAACAAATTTGTCCTCAAAAAAAAAACACATAAAACACTAATTGTTTCTTCAAACTAGGAAACAAACTCCTTATGTCATTGACAATTAATTTGGTATCCATAAAATGACGATCTTCAGTCCAACGGTCTCCTCGAAGGATGTTGACACTGTGAAACAAAAAAAAATATTAGCATAATATCACTGTCATATTTGGTCAGCACCACTAAACAGAAACATAGTCATCTCACCACGCCCCTTAAGATGATACTGCTCTGTACATATGTATAAATTCCCAATCTAGCAGTATACATTTGATTGCCAAAATTCTGTGTGTAAACAAATTCTCATTGGTGATACCAAACACCAGTCCTTAATTTGGCCCTTTACCAGATTTGTTATTACCAACAGTACAGATGTCACAAAAAAAGTTACGTGCTACTCAATCTGTTTAGCTCAATAAACGTCAAAAGAGATTACATATTTGGTGGGCTGCGAATACACAGCATTCGCCAGGTGTACACCTGGTTCGTAGTTAATGACAAAGTACCTTCACAGTGTTCTGTGAGGTTTTGGAAAAACATGTAATGGGGGGCATGGTATAGATTTAAATTCTCTTTTTTCTTCTGTAGGGGCTATAATTGGCCAACATCACCACTGGTACAGTCTCAGACATGAAATTGTTTGCATCTATCAGCTATGAAGTCAGTACTACAAGCACAAAATTTTAAGATAATGTCCATTTTTTTTTTCGTTCTCTAGAATATAATTTCAAAATCCCCTATCTTGGTAAGGGGCAATTTAGGACCCATGTTTATTTTTTTCCATGCTGTTTTTTTATCTACTTTATGCTGTAGCAATACTGATATGTTTTGCTGAAACTACCACTATACGCACTTTGTTAGGGGATGAAGTAAACATGACCACTGACTCTATTTATTATAATTTTTAACATACATCTCTGATTTTTTTTATCAATCCGCCCCGATGTTCAGCTCTAAACTGTCATGCGTACGCATGCGCAAATAATTTTTCATACAACTATCACCGAACCATCTGCCCATACAGCGATATCAAATCGATCAAACATCACGATATAAATATCGACTATCGACTTTTGTACAGTATCGATGGCTCGTACCCATCTTCTAATTCCAGCTGTAGCGATCAGCTGACCAACGCTAGTGATCCGATTGGTGTGGTTCTTAAGATAAAGCTCAATATAATTATTGAACTTTATTTTAAGAAGTGACCTTGAAATAAGAAAACGACCATAACCTCAATATATTTAGTCATTTATGTAAAAATGAACTGATTTGGATACTTACTGCAACGTCATCATTACGCGCTCCTCTGGCGATGTCCGACTGCGTTCAGGTGCCTTCTGCAGGTACCTCTTCACCAAGGTCAGAAGTTGATACCAGCGCGGCTTTTCGTTTTTTTGCTCTAGGCATGGCCATCGTCAATTAATCCAAAACCACCCGAATCATGTCAAAGAAGGGGTGTGACGTCACCAAAACGTTTGACCACCACTGGAAATCACTAGCTAGTTACCGTCTGGCGGCGTAACATGTGGAGAACACTGGTGTAGAAACAGCTGATCCTTAAATTCGGTTACGTTAAGTCGTGCATGAACCCGACATTAATATCACCAAGCAAGCAGATATAATCATATTGTGACGCTATAAAAGAAAGTACACTGTCTAGATAATCAACAAATAAGACTACACTACTAGAAGGTGCTCTGTAAACTATACAAAGTGAGATTTTATATCTAGATCTATCAGGGGGAACAAAGTCATCAAATAACTGTTTACTAGGAATATGTTGACGAATGTATATCCCAACCCCTCCCCCTCTACGTACACGGTCCATGTGTATGAACTTAAGACCGGGTATTTGAACAACTGTTGCCGTTTGGTCATCGTTTATCCAATTCTCAGTAACGCACATCTCATCATCGTTGTCAGAAACAACTAAATCAATAAATTTGTCAAATGAAGTAAACAAATATTTCACATTACGGTGACCAAGCTTAAGGGCACTGCTCTGATTATTCATATTGAATATTATTCTTTAGTTTCTGGATTTTGAACTTCAGGCAAGCGCAGTTGCGACTATTGGCAGAGTGATTAGTTGATAATGGAGATTTAAATTTATCATTATGATTCTTGCAATTGTGACAACACAATACATTGGATTTACAATTTTTCTTCATTTGACCAAACTTGTTACATATTTAAAACAACGAATTACATTTTAATGCTCCATAACATTACAATTGGGCTAACCGATAAACACAAAAGTCTTAGCAAACAATACCTTGAAAGTATATGGCTCAAGCTACACAACAACATTTATAGATTCACGCCTAATAGAAATGCTACAAATTTTTATGCAACTTGATTCACAGTCAAGGTTGTTGTGAAATATAAGTGTATCAATGGAACTATCTACAAGTTCTAATCTATTACCGACTCCCATATTTTTCACACAATCTTTGAGGACATTCTGTATGATAGGGCGTAATTTTAAAGACTTATGAATCTCATATTTATTTCCTATTTCAGACTGTAAAGTAGATTTAAGGCCATTTAAATCATTTGTGTTATTACAACTTATAAGAAGTCCATTTTTTGTTGACTAACCTTTGGATATCTCCACCTTCAAAGGACCCAGGAGTACATTTACACTTGAAATCCTTCCCAACTTGTTTAATAGAAATGCTACTATCAGCTGATTTTATTATTAAAAGAAGGAAGATCATTCAGTTTGTTTGTTTCTATTGCTTGGCTGTGTGAAACAGGGCCCAGTTTTTGCTCGACAGGTAAAATTAGGTTTTTGTCACTCACATTTAGAATACACTTCGCTTCGAGGTCAGCTATCCTTTTCACCTGCACATCTATTGTATATTCATGGCCACAAGCATTTTTTTCGAACAGCTCCTTCTCCCTATTCAGACAATCAATTTCCTTTTTCAAAACTACACCACTGTCACAAACTGGATCGTCTGTACTAAGACTCCGGCTGCATTTCTTCGTCTTACTGTCTTCACAGCAGCTGCGGCAACGCCACTTCTTGACATCCACAACAAAGACCTTCGTAACAATACCCAAGCACTTTTTATGGAGACATACGTAACATTTGGATCCACTGTATTTTACAGGACGTTTATCCACAGGCTCAAAACAAATTTTGCACTTTATTTTCTCGAGAATATCAGCATCGTCAGACATCGCTGAATATCACGTCCGGTCAGTACGACGATGAATTGTTAAAATGTATCCGAAACTCCTGAACATAGCCACTTCACTGTTCCTGTACTGTTTTCTTTCATTTCTTAACAGAAACGGTATATGATTTCTTAATATAGCTCGCCCAAATAGCTGAGGTTGGTAGGTCTCATAATTGTCATTGTCCCAGTTTTCTGAATTACGAGAAAAAGTTTAGTTATGAAATATGTAAGTAAAAGGTTTGATGACACAATTTTGTATTTAAATGCACCATATCCATACGTATACACAAACTCATCACATCAACAAAACTATGAACAGTTAAAGTATCCATTCAGCCATGTGTATTTGTGCAGTCTTTTATTTGTACTGGCAAAGCATTAAACATTTTTACATCGTTATACTATGGGCTTTGCTCATATAATCTGATTTTATAATGGGGTACTTAGTTTTTTACGGTTTCCAGTAATCATATTATTGTAATAATAACTGTTTTTCCAGATTTGTCGAAGTTTTGTTTTGTATGAATACATATACTCAAAATGTGTATACATGGTGCTGTCAATACTTTCAACTGTTTGATGTACTGTCAGCAAGATGTAATCTGGGGTAATCTTAATGCCGCTCTTAAAATTCGTTTCTGTCATATAATAACAATGAGCATAAGCAAACTAAACCATTTTCAATACTTCGGTACTTTCTTGATCTCTAATTCTGTATATTAAATAGCAGGAAGAGTTCATTTTCGACAACACCGATATTACTTGTTCTGCCAACTCCAATGAATGATCTATTTTCACACCTAAAAACTGTACAGCGTTTGTTTGAACTTTGGTTTTACCATCTAATTTCACATTAAGTGATTTGGGAGTGTCATTATTGAAGTATACGAAATTCGTTTTATCGATGTTCAAATGTAAGAAGTTTGTAATTGCACCATACAGCTACATTATTTACAAGTTTAGATTATTTTTGACATAACTGTTCTATGTTTTTGTCAGGCACTATATCCGATATATCATCAGCGTACATGAATAACGAAGTTCAGTTAATAGATTTAGGGACAATCTCACCATCGTTAATCAGTTTGAGCCAATAAGAAAAGACTCTATTGAAATGCAATCTGACGGAAGCTGTCAAAGCTCTCTGAATATCAGTGATTTCTTTTGAAATATTGAACAAAATCGTGAAAAAACGATTGTATTATGATACCCTAGGCTGTGGAGTGTTGACAACTACCTTTTTCTTTGCTTCTAAATATCCCAGTCGTTCCTTTGCCCTTATTTCTTGGAGAGCTGCCTCTTGTTTATAAATAGGGCAGCTCTTGGATCGCGCTGAATGATTTCCATTACAATTTATACAGGAAATTGGGTGTTGGCATGGATATCCTTCATGGAGTGGACTTCCGCACACACAAATGGCTTGTTGCTGACATTTAGAAGAAGCGTGGCAAAATTTTTGGCATCTGAAACAATGTAAGGTGGCAGGCACATACATTCGCACTGGAAAGGAGTAAAAGGCAACTCTAATTTTCTCTGGCAGTTTGGTGCTGTTGAAAGTGAGAATATGGTTTGGTGTATCTTATTATTTATTATTATTATTATTATTATTATTATTATTATTATTATTCATTAATCATCTAACTGATTCACAGGCTTCCCTGGGTTAAAAACGCTGGCACATCGGTTTTGAAACAAGATGGACCGTTCGAGGATGATGTACTAGTTGCCGCCTAAAACTCTACGGACTACACTCCATGTGTCCAACACGACCAACTTTTGCATGGGTAAGTATAATTCACACGGTAATCCTAGTTGTCGCAGTGACGTTTTTAATTTTTTAGGTATTTCTCCAGTTGCTCCGATCACAATGGGGATGATGACTACTGTTTCCATGTTCCACATTTGGCGGATTTCATCGCTCAGGGGTAGGTATTTATTGATTTTTTCTCCATGTGTCTTTTCTAGGTTGGCTCCCAATGGTACAGCGAAATCTACTATGTATGTCTTGTTTTCATTTTTTAGAGTGAGCACGATGTCCGGTATGTTATTACTTATCGGTCTATCGGTTATAATTTTTCGATTCCAGTAGAGCCGGGTTTGTTCATCTTCGCATACAGCAGGCGGCTCGTATAAATAGTACGGCACCATTTCTGTAAATCCCATGTACTTTTCACGAAGGCTTTGGTGGATTATTTTTCCGACTCTGTTGTTCCTGTCTAGGTAGGATTTCGGTGCCAACATTGAGCAACCAGCGATGATGTGATCCAGGTATTCATCTTTTTCACCCCACCACACGACATCTGATATTGTCTTGTCGTTCCCACATTATGTTTCTTTTATATAATTTAGTTGCGATGACCTGATTTTGGATTGCAGATATGAACCCTTCTGTCTCAGCAAACAGGTTACCAGGGCGGAGGTAGGCCGTGGACGCAAAGGTATCGGATGTTATCGTTCTCGAGTAGGGTGCGGTATTTACCATGAAGTGCCTTACTCTTCCATTGTTGCAGTTGTTGCTCGGGTATGAGCTGGTCCACGCTGGTCTGCCAGTCTTAAAGCAGTAGCCTTGCTGTCCGCTCTTATGATAGCGTGGTGGATCTCACTGAACGCAGCCTTGGCAAAGAAGTAGTTCCTGAGGTTTGTTACTTGCCTGTTGTGTTTAATAACCAGATCAGGTATGCCTCTTCCACCCAACTTTCTAGGCAAGTGGAACCTTTCCAATGACGAACGAGGATGATGTGCTCGAAATTTGCTAACCTCCTTTCTGGTTTTGATATTAAGGCTTTTGAGTTCTGTTTCTGTCCAGTGAATCACTCCAAAGCTATGCGAATCTGCAGATGTGGCATAGGTGTTAACTGCTTTTGCCATGTTTCTGGCAGACGGCTTAGCCTTCAGTATCGACCGGATTCTTTTAATGTAGGTGTCACTTACTGTCTGCTTTGCTGCTGTATGATCTAGGCCTCTTGCTTGCAGATCACCAAGATATTTGTACCTTTCCCCCTCTTCCATTCCGGCGATGGTTTGCCGCTCAGCAACATCATATCCCGCGTGATGTACCCACTGGCCCTTCTCCATTCCGCTGGTCCTAGATTTGTCCAGCCCAAATGACATTTTTATGTCGCGAATGAATCGGGTGACACAAGTCAGAAGGTCGTCAAGGTGTTTTTTAGACTTTGCGTACAGCTTTAAATCGTCCATGTACCAAAGGTGGCTAATATTCTTGTCTGAGTGTGGCAGTATACGTATATAACCTTTGCGCTGCCTATTCAACATAGTTGTCAGGGGTCGCAGCGACAGACAGAATCATAGCGGACTTAATGCGTCCCCTTGGAATATTCCCCTTTCTATTTTAATGGTGCCTGCATCTACACTTTTTTGACTGGTGTTTAAAACAATTCTGGTTTTCCACTGAGACATAGCGTAGTTCAGTAAATTCAGTACATGGGGCTCGACTTTATAAAGCTGTAACACCTCGGTTAGGCAGGAATGAGTCACGCTATCAAACGCTTTTTGGTAGTCTATATACGCTGTGTGCAAAGAGCCTTTTGAGCGTCTCGCGTGAGATGTGATGATCGTATCTATTATCAATTGTTCTTTACACCCTCTGGATCCTTTTCGGCAACCCTTCTGCTCTTCGTCCAACAGGTTATTTCTTTCCAGGTGGCTGTATATCTTTTCCGATATGATGGACGTGAATATTTTATATATTGTAGGAAGGCAGGTGATCGGCCTATATTTGGAAGGATCTTCTGAGGACACCTTCGTTTTTGGCAACAAATAACTGATACCACTGGCCATGAATGGTGGTAGTTCTTCAGGGTTGGACAGCAGGTGAGTATAACATTTGGCTAGATGTTGATGACTGACCTTGAATTGTTTATACCAGAAATTTTGTATTTTATCCTGTCCAGGTGCCTTCCAAGTCAAGGTCTTGCTTATAGCCTTGGTTACTTGGTCGGTTGTTACTTCCCATTCCAACAGAGTGTGGAGGTTAGATGTAGACCTCTTCTCGTCAAACAGCCATCTGGTATTGTTGTGAATCACACGGTTTCCCCAGATTGATTCCCAAACCGTTTTCGTGGCCTCTGGTGTGGGGACCTTATCTTCTTGCAGGGTGTGAGGCTCGTGATCTTCAGACTCTAAAATTTTTATAAAAACTCCTTTCACTCCTGCTAAACGGAATATTGTGTTGACGTCTTGTGTTACTTTCCTTATAGCTTTTTAGCCATAGCCTTGGGTTTTTGTTTAAGGTGATCCAGTATTTCTCTGGCTGTCGGATTTTCGAGGCTTTGTTTCAAGAATGGCTTTGGCTTTCTTAGTGACTGAGCTGCTGGGGTTCAAGCTTTGATTTTGTGTCAGAATTCCAATGTCCCGCCTGATACTATCGATTTTATTAGTAATTCGGCGCTGCCATGCTGGCGTGACTAGGACATTTTTAACTTGCGTGTCCGTAGAGATTTTCTGCTTGTTTAGTGTTAGCATCGTTGCTGTTCCACTATAAATAAGGCTGTGTAGATTTTCGATGGGTATATCAGTTGTTGTTTTGGAATCCAGAATTTTGTTGATTTTACTCAATATAGATTTTGTCTTGTTATTATATATTAATTTGGGAAGTCTAGGTTTCATCACAATGTCCATTGCATCATAAAGCAAATGAATCCTTTCGAATTCCAACTCAGCAGAAGAGGGTGGTCCGTTGGTCTCCGGTACCAAATCCGCTGGTTCATCATCAACATCAGCAGGTCAGCAGGTAGATTTATAGATAGTTCTGTCGCTACTTCGCGCTTTATTTGTGTAATAATATTTGGTGGTAGGCGTCTATTTATAAATATAGATCTTCGCTGGTCTATGATATTTTGTATAGTCTTATGACGAAACATTGGAAATTTTTCAGTAACCAGTCTATGTAGTTCTCTGTATGGAGTTTTGGCGGTTTCTAGTCGGGTTAATCTGTAATAGCAGCGAACCATGAATGCATTGATTTCTTCTGTCCACATGGTCCGTTGCCTAACTGTGCCTTGTGGCGTGGTGGGCATGGGCTCTGATAGTCCAGCAACACCGACATCTTGGCTTGGTTCGTTTGGTGGTGGTGTACTCGACTGGGTTGGTAATCTGGCTGGTCCTTCCCAACTAACAATTATCACTCCTATTAGAGTTGCAAGAATGATTATACAGTATTCCTTACACAGCATTGTATACTGAAAGAACATTGGCAAAACCCTCGTACAACGGCTATACAAGCGGAATGGGCACACCTAATAGGACAGGAAGGTCATTTAAGAGGTTGTATAAGGGCTGCAGGTAACAGTTATACAACAAAAGTGTAAGCCTCTTGCAGCCACAATAGGACATTTGCGTCAGTGCAATATTCAGTTTTTGTCAACTACACAACTATTCTTTTGTTTTGTTTGCCCAATATGGCGGGTGGTTGTGTATAATCATGGCATCGTCCATGTTGTCTTTAGTTTATTAGAATATTTTGGTATTGCCTGCAGGAGTTATACAACAATTTGACAAATGTCTAAAATGAAATACCGACAGAGTCGAATGATTTACCCAGAATTTGTACCAGATCTATATCTTCTGTTTGAACAGTTGATAAAACCTTTTAAACCAATATGCATGCGTTGTGTTTCTTAAAACATTGGTTATGGCATTTTAACAAAAATATGACAGCAGAAAGTTAGGTTATGGTGAAGTTGTATACTAACATATTTAGCAACAAATGTATGCCGAGCACAGCAATTTTGTACTAAAAAAGTTTGTAATATTGTTGCATATGTACAGCCTTTAACAGTTACTAAACAACAGTTATATAAGTGCTTCCGTTGGAAGCAATTTGTTGGCTAAAGTAGTAAACTTGCACAGCAAAACAACAAGGCTCGGATTTGTTTTATAAATGTTACCATGGATGCCACAACACAACCATTTTGACTAACGTGCAAATATGCCGTATAAAATAGTTGTATAAACGTTAGTGCAACAGTTAAAAATTTGTCCTATAAGGTGTTGTATAACTATGCTATAAGAATATTTTAAACACCTAATTTTAGAGCAAATATGTTACAGAAAGCAAATTTGCATTCCACACAACATTAAGCCAGCATTTTGGTGTTCAGGCAACAACAATAGAGAGCTTTTATGGCTGAACGGTTCTTTTACCAAAAGCTTATAGCACTACTTTGCTAGTTGGGTTGTTCATTGCCGCGGTAGGTTGCAGGTCAATCTTCAAGACGGTTCCGACCCGGCTCCTGCTGCGCCGTCCCGCCTAAGTATCTGTTATTTCTCGTTTTAAGAGCATTTAAATATAGACGTTCTAGGGGGTGCTAACCCATAGAGCGGTGGTGCTAGTTTTTGTCCACCCCGTGTATTTTATTTCCCCCTGTACCCTCCATATATGGAGATCGTTTCTCAATTCGCACAGCGAGGCACCCGATAGGAGACTAGCAACTCCACAGGGGTCATTATCATTATCATTATCATTATCATTATCATTATCATTATTATTATTATTATCATTATCATTATCATTATCATTATCATTATCATTATCATTATCATTATCATTATCATTATCATTATCATTATCATTATCATTATCTTTATCATTATCATTATCATTATCATTATCATTATCATTATCATTATCATTATCATTATCATTATTATTATCATTATCATTATCATTATCATTATCATTATCATTATAATTATCATTATCCTTATCATTGTCATTGTCAATATCATTATCATTATCACTATTATTATTATTATTATTTTATTTACGGCATCAACTTCTATGGTTATTAGTCGCATTCAATAATATAGTGTATAATTGCAAGTATAAGTAAAAGTACATAAATGTAAAGTATACACGTAAATATATAATCTTTTACATGTGTAAATGTGTAAATGTCGGAATTCTTAAACTAGGTAAATAAGCAAATTTCAGATTTTAATCAAAATGTTTATATTTTCAGATTATATTAGCTAATCTCTGTGAAGCGTTACAAGACTAAATTTGTCAGTTGTATAAATTAAATAGTGTGTGGCCTTAGATAAGTATTTAAATTTTCCAATAATAACTTAAGGAACAATAGCACTAATTTGGTTTGTTCAAAGATTTGTTGGAAGGCCAAAAGTTTGCCGGAGTGTCACAGTTCCAGAGCAATTTGTTAGCAAAAGTTGCATCCAGGAGGATCTTGGCCCAGTAGTAGGTTTTAACGTCAGTGGGAGGTTCCGTGGGCTGAAGCTTGGCTTAACTAGTTTCAATTGCATATTTATTTGTTGCCAACAATTTTGCCAGAACTCATACATACGCTCATTAGTCATTCTTTTCCGATCTGTGTGTTTTATCTGGTGTACGTCAGCGTTAGATGAAGAAGTTGCACTTTTAGCAGCAATGTCAGCAGCTTCATTTCCTGGAATTCCAATATGCCCAGGGATCCAGATGAATATAATAGTGATGCCTAGATCATCTAGTACTTTTAGTATTTGTAAACACATTTGTGATAAAGGGTCTTTGGCGTTATGATCTTGTAGACCAGTCAAAGCTGCTAACGAGTCGCTTGCTATAGTAACAGGTAGCGGTATCTCAATCATTGTACAGTATCTCTAGGCCTGCCATACTGCGTATTGCTCAGTTGTATAAATTGATGCTAATGGTGACAAGGTCCAAGCATGTGCGATGTTACTGGTAACAAAGAACATCCAACACCTGTTTGGGTTTTTGAGCCATCAGTGTAAATCACTGTTGCATTGTGAAATGGCTCAATTAGATCATAAAAGTGTGATTTAATTTGTGCGGTTGGAGTTTCATGATTATGAAGTGAAACTAGCTCAAGTTTAAGGTTGGCCACCGGTAGTTGCCATGGTGGAGTTTCGCCGCAGATCAGAGGAAACAATAGTGTTTGAGGAATATTGAAGTAACTTACTATTTCTTTCCCAAATGCCTTGTGATAGTTCGCCTTTGTGAATAGCTATTGTTATCGTTGGTAAGTATACTGAAATATAGGTGATGCGGACGAGTATTTAAGCTGGATATATAAGAGAGCATAAGCTTCTTCCGCCGAATATGTAAAGATTCAACACCTGACTCGCAACATACGCTCATTACGGGCGTCATGCGAAAAGCATCTAGACATTACCTTAGGGCTAAGTGATGTACTGGATCAAGAAGTTTGAGAGCAGATAATCTTGCTGATGAATAAATTATGCAACCGTAATCTATACGAGATAGAACAATACTTTTATATATCTTGATCAATGAACTTGCATCTGCTCCCCAACGTGTCGAAGAAAGACATTTAATTATGCTAAGACTTTTCTTGCATTTGTAGATGACATCAAGAAGGTGTGGTCTCCAATTAAGCTTAGAATCAAAAGTGAGACCCAGGGACTTTACTGTTGGCATAGTAGATATAGGATAGGTTATCCATGTAAGTACAAGTCTGGATCAAAGTGTGGTCTTCTTAATCTACAAAAATGAACACATTGTGTTTTAAGTCGTGATATATTCAAACAATTTCTTAACGCATTACGAGATATTTCATCCATAGCAGTTTGGATTCGACGAGTTGCTTTTCCAACAGTTTTTCAAGAGGTTAAGATACACAAGTCGTCAACACAGAGGCATTTCTCTATTTCAGAATCGACTGACTTTGCAATACTGTTGATTGCGATTGCAAAGAGCCTACAACTTAGAGTTGAACCTTGTGGTACGCCATTCTCTAAGATGCGAGAGGTGGATGAAGTGTTTTCAATTCTCACTCGAAAACTCCTATCAAGGAGGAACGACGCTATGAAAATAGGGAGATTGCCTCTAAACCCCCATCTGTACAGTTGGAGCAGGATGTTGTGTCTCCAGGTCATGTCGTATGCTTTTTCAATATCAAAAAAGACCGCTATGGTGTGTTGCCTATCTCTAAAAGCATTCTGTACATAAGTTTCAGCATATGCTAGTTGATCAATCGTAGATCTGTTTTCTCGGTAGCCTGCTTGATACTCCACTAGAAGGTTTTGCTTCTCAAGCCACCAAGATAGCCTCTCATTGACCATAGGCTCAAGGATTTTCACTAGACAGCATGTTAAGCTTATTTTCCTATAACTAGTCGCTGATTGAGGATCCTTGCCTTCATTT